GCAAGTATAATTGTTTAATTTAAACATTCACAAGAGGAACATGAGACAAGAATGAGATGGCACAAACATTATAAATACAAAACTGTTCAAGATCACAATATCAACACATACAACTATAAGAATGTATAGAAACAAGAGGACATGTTAAAATATATATGTCGAGTACCTTGAAAAGGCCCTGGTGTGATTTGTGTAGACACAGCAGGTTTATTCAGAAACACAATTTAACACCAGACTAAAAGCATTAATATATATTAAAGTTCTTTCTATTTGACTTTCACAGTGGTTAAATTAACCACGACACTTCCTCGAGTACTGTACTCAGGTACAATTTTGAACTACTTTACTTTTATATTTATATTTTATGATACATTATGCTAATAATAATTATACTATTATATATTATACTTTTAGTAGTACAGCTGTAGTTACTTTGCTATTCAGATAAATAGAAAAATACAACCTGATGTCTTATTGATTAAATCACCACGCAGCATATAAAGTAGGGCTGCTCAATTAATCATATTTTAATCGCAATTACGATTTTGGCTTGCAACGATTATGAAAACAACATAATCAGAATAAAACGATCTTTTTTTTAAATCTTAATTTTTTTTATTATTGGTTTTTCAGTTGAATTATACTTAAAGTTCAGGGTAATCAACTGTTAAAAACATACTGTTCAAATATATTTTTTCAAAAAATGGATGTTTTCAAAGTAAATGGATAATTGTTTTTAATAATCGTGATATCAATTATTGACCCAAATAATCGAGATTATGATTTTTGCCATAATCGAGCAGCCCTAATATAAAGAAATACAAATAAGCTCCATGTTCACCAGATGCAACAGGAAGTTTACTTGTAAGTACAGTACAATTTGGTTCTAGTACAATTTGGTATTTCTACATTTACCTAAGTAAAGGGTCTGAGTCCTTCGTCTTGCACTGAACCATTGGTTTGAAACATGAGGGATAAAAAAGTATTGAGGAAATAAAAAAGTGCATTAAAGCCTTAAACCCGCGTCACACTGTCCCGAAATTGACACCCGATGGACACACGATAAAGGAAATGTTCAAATTCGGCTCTGATCGTAACATCGGGCCATTCGTGAGGGCATCTTAAGCCATCGTATGACCGCCGGTGGAGTTTCTCAGTCTCCGGCAGCAACTTCGGGAGCGGTGGCAACATCTTTGGCATGGCAAAGCATTGCCGAAGGACATTGCGAAGGTTCATTTTCGTGTTGACTTCGTGTGTCCATTTTGCCCTTCGTAAGGCATTCGTGCGGGCATCTTAAAGGGGACCTATCATGCAAAATGCACTTTTGTACGTCTTTTATACATGAATATGTGTCCCCGGTGTTCCAGGGAACTCACCAAGTGTCAGAAAACACAACCCTCTCTATTTTCCTCCATACCCAAATCTCTAAAAAAGGGGCTGCAACGGATCTGATAAAAACTGATCCAGATTTGAACACTTTCCTGACGTCAGGACAGTGGCGCTACGGCTATTGGGCCAACTCCACCAATCAGGAGGAGACAGCCACGGCCATTGCCGTTCGAAAGCGCTGGAGACGCTGTAGTACATATGCCAGGCCTCTAGATGGTGCTGTTCTCACTGAATCGGCCCAGAGCTAGAAATTGTCAAATTGAGCAAAATGAGGCATGGCTAAAATGCATGATCTGTTTGGTATTTTGAAAAAAAAAAAGTATAAATATGCCTTATATAGGTATGGTCCTACACTATATTATTCAAATATAGCATGATAGGTCCACTTTAAGCCATCGTATGACCGCCGGTGGAATTTCTCAGGCTCCGGCAGCAACTTCGGGAGCGGTAGCAAAGTCTTTGGCATGCCAAAGATTTTGCCGAAGGACCTTGCGAAGGTTCATTTTCGTGTTGACTTCGTGTGTCCATTTTGCCCTTCGTAAGGCCATCATGAGGGCATCGTAAGGGCATCGTGTAGCCATCGTATGACATCGTTTCCCATGTGTCATGGTAACGTGGACATATAAAAGGCTAACTCCCAAAGCTTCAATCACAATTCATCACAATTCAGTTCCTGCAGAATGGCATACTATGATGAGACAACCAGGAAAAAGAAGGCAGCAGCATTGCTTCTTTTGATGCACCTCAGAGAACATGATGAGCAACTCTTACAGGTAAAAATGGTCTTATTTCACGTTGTCATTTCTTGCCATTTGTGACCTGCTCTATCGAAGTCAGTAGCAGTGATGACACCTGTATTAAGCAGGTAAATCAGGAGCATGAGGACACGGTGTGCGATGTTTCCTTGCAGATCGCTTCTCTGGTTGTTTTATTGCACAACAAAATCATGTAAACAACCCAATTTGTGTTCTGTGAAACTGAAAAGGATATTACATTGTTTTTGTTACTTTCGTTGCAGTTTTATGCAGCCGCGGCGCCAAGATTTCAATTTTGGGTGGGCCAATGTAATTTCGGCTGGGCCTGTTCTAATAGATGTTTCTCGTTAACAAAAATAAAAATAAATGCCTGCATATCATTGTAGGCAACTGTGTAATGCATATTCCCTATAGTAAAGACACTTTTTCTAAACCCTTCTCTTTTAAAAATGTTCACTTATAAGAAGCTTAAATATTATTTAAATGATTAAGCGGCACGCCGCAATGAGTGAAATGAAATGTTAAACTGCTGCATGTTATTTTGTTTTGGTTCACAATACATTGATACATTTAGAAACAAAGAGCATACAACGGCAGAATACGGAATAATGACCGAGCACCTGATGTGTGTCTGTGTGGTTAGACCCTGATGTGTGTCTGTGTGGTTAGACCCTGATGTGTGTCTGTGGATAGACTGCAGCCTGATGTGTGTCTGTGTGGTTAGACTGCAGCCTGATGTGTGTCTGTGTGGTTAGACCGCAGCCTGATGTGTGTCTGTGTGGTTAGACCGCAGCCTGATGTGTGTCTGTGTGGTTAGACCGCAGCCTGATGTGTGTCTGTGTGGTTAGACCCTGATGTGTGTCTGTGTGGTTAGACTGCAGCCTGATGTGTGTCTGTGTGGTTAGACTGCAGCCTGATGTGTGTCTGTGTGGTTAGACCCTGATGTGTGTCTGTGTGGTTAGACCCTGATGTGTGTCTGTGTGGTTAGACTGCAGCCTGATGTGTGTCTGTGTGGTTAGACTGCAGCCTGATGTGTGTCTGTGTGGTTAGACCCTGATGTGTGTCTGTGTGGTTAGACTGCAGCCTGATGTGTGTCTGTGTGGTTAGACCCTGATGTGTGTCTGTGTGGTTAGACCCTGATGTGTGTCTGTGTGGTTAGACCCTGATGTGTGTCTGTGTGGTTAGACCCTGATGTGTGTCTGTGTGGTTAGACCCTGATGTGTGTCTGTGTGGATAGACCCTGATGTGTGTGTCTGTGTGGTTAGACTGCAGCCTGATGTGTGTCTGTGTGGTTAGACCGCACCCTGATGTGTGTCTGTGTGGTTAGACTGCAGCCTGATGTGTGTCTGTGTGGTTAGACCCTGATGTGTGTCTGTGTGGTTAGACCCTGATGTGTGTCTGTGTGGTTAGACCCTGATGTGTGTCTGTGTGGATAGACTGCAGCCTGATGTGTGTCTGTGTGGTTAGACTGCAGCCTGATGTGTGTCTGTGTGGTTAGACCGCAGCCTGATGTGTGTCTGTGTGGTTAGACTGCAGCCTGATGTGTGTCTGTGTGGTTAGACCGCAGCCTGATGTGTGTCTGTGTGGTTAGACTGCAGCCTGATGTGTGTCTGTGTGGTTAGACTGCAGCCTGATGTGTGTCTGTGTGGTTAAACCCTGATGTGTGTCTGTGTGGATAGACTGCAGCCTGATGTGTGTCTGTGTGGTTAGACTGCAGCCTGATGTGTGTCTGTGTGGTTAGACCCTGATGTGTGTCTGTGTGGTTAGACCGCAGCCTGATGTGTGTCTGTGTGGTTAGACTGCAGCCTGATGTGTGTCTGTGTGGTTAGACTGCAGCCTGATGTGTGTCTGTGTGGTTAGACTGCAGCCTGATGTGTGTCTGTGTGGTTAGACTGCAGCCTGATGTGTGTCTGTGTGGTTAGACCCTGATGTGTGTCTGTGTGGTTAGACTGCAGCCTGATGTGTGTCTGTGTGGTTAGACTGCAGCCTGATGTGTGTCTGTGTGGTTAGACCCTGATGTGTGTCTGTGTGGTTAGACTGCAGCCTGATGTGTGTCTGTGTGGTTAGACCCTGATGTGTGTCTGTGTGGTTAGACCCTGATGTGTGTCTGTGTGGTTAGACCCTGATGTGTGTCTGTGTGGTTAGACCCTGATGTGTGTCTGTGTGGTTAGACCCTGATGTGTGTCTGTGTGGATAGACCCTGATGTGTGTGTCTGTGTGGTTAGACTGCAGCCTGATGTGTGTCTGTGTGGTTAGACTGTAGCCTGATGTGTGTCTGTGTGGTTAGACCGCACCCTGATGTGTGTCTGTGTGGTTAGACCCTGATGTGTGTCTGTGTGGTTAGACCCTGATGTGTGTCTGTGTGGTTAGACCCTGATGTGTGTCTGTGTGGATAGACTGCAGCCTGATGTGTGTCTGTGTGGTTAGACTGCAGCCTGATGTGTGTCTGTGTGGTTAGACCGCAGCCTGATGTGTGTCTGTGTGGTTAGACCCTGATGTGTGTCTGTGTGGTTAGACCGCAGCCTGATGTGTGTCTGTGTGGTTAGACCCTGATGTGTGTCTGTGTGGTTAGACTGCAGCCTGATGTGTGTCTGTGTGGTTAGACTGCAGCCTGATGTGTGTCTGTGTGGTTAGACTGCAGCCTGATGTGTGTCTGTGTGGTTAGACTGCAGCCTGATGTGTGTCTGTGTGGTTAGACTGCAGCCTGATGTGTGTCTGTGTGGTTAGACCCTGATGTGTGTCTGTGTGGTTAGACTGCAGCCTGATGTGTGTCTGTGTGGTTAGACCCTGATGTGTGTCTGTGTGGTTAGACTGCAGCCTGATGTGTGTCTGTGTGGTTAGACTGCAGCCTGATGTGTGTCTGTGTGGTTAGACCCTGATGTGTGTCTGTGTGGTTAGACCGCAGCCTGATGTGTGTCTGTGTGGTTAGACCGCAGCCTGCTGTCCTTTTTAGCGGATCTAGCGAAGTGAGCGCCCGTGCGTAAATGGCACTGGTTCTCTGACGCGGCACTTTTCAGAGGCTGCAGATTTATCATTAGCTACTTCCTTCTGATACTGCAGAGCTTTCATGAGCTGAAGGTACGTTTCATACTAAAGCAGCTGGGCAGCAGATACTGTTGCTTCACACTCATAAGTTTTGCTGATGTGGGCTGGAGAATGCCGCGTCAGGGTGCGCTCTGGTAGTTGCAAATGGCACGAAATTTTAGCTCTACGTTTCTTAATCATTTTCCTAGATATTTAGTCTCAATATGAAATGAGGAATCTCTTGCTTTGCACACGTGAGAATTATGTCTGGGAAAACTTTACGTGTTCCCGATTTTTCTCAATGATCTCTCCCTGTCGGCCCTCTGGGTTGAGTAGCTGATGGAGGATGGTTCCATGGTCAGACTTCTCGCACTGTCTGTAGTTTGTATTTCTCTCCATAGCTATTGCATGAGCTGCGCTGCATTCGTGTTTACTGAGAGCATAGTCGATGTGTTTCCAGTCCCTGTAACCATGGCGACTGAATGTATCTTCTCCGCCGGCCCCGCCTCTCTCACTAAAATGCCGGCACATTTGACAAAACACACTGTCCTTGCTAATGCTATACTACAAGAATGTGTACTTGTCGACATACCAGTGGGCAGCGGAGCTCCTTTTCTTTTGTCTGAAAAGTGTCTGAGGGTAGGCCTACTTTATGAGCTTTGGCTGTGTAGCCGCCGGGTCATCTATGGCTGAGAGGTCCGGCACTGGGATGCTATTTTCTGTTATACTGCAACGGGTGCTACGTCCCGCAGAGGGACTGAGCTCAGCGGGGGCACAACATTAAACACACCCTCGTCTCTCTGAGGCGGCACCTGCTGTGAGGATGATGAGTGTGGTGGTTCCGGCGGCGTCGACTCTGTTCTTACTCTTTTAAAAAAACTGAACATCGATTGTTGTGACATCGTTAGTGAGTGCGGTATTTTGTGTGTTTGTGTAGTCCACTGTCCCCCTTCATCTGCGCGCGCCCGCGAGACGTTCTACGATGTATTTGCTCCCGCGCTTCCACTATGAGTTCGGTCCAATTCACATGTTACGTTGCCTGATTACCTTAATTCATGTTGCTTTTAATTTTATACGTTTTTTTTAAAGTGAAACACATGTTTGCTCTTATTTTATAAAAATTTGATTTCCCACGTGGCCGAAGCTTTTATACCATCAGGAGGTCACGTGTCGCCTTTGTGTGTGGTTCGGGTGCCATCGCGTGGCCTTCTGTAGGCATCGTACTTGCTTCGGCTGTTGCTTGGCCGATGACCAAGTTCGGGGCCATCTTCGTGCAAAATTCACAATTCCATATTCGTGTGTCCATCGGGAGTCAATTTCGGGACAGTGTGACAGGGGCTTAAAGGAGATACATTCCTTGTTTATAAAATATATTATTTGATATATAGTTATCTTAACTAAACAGTTAACACTACAGACACAGCTGAAGACAATAAAGAGTTAGTGTTGATCCAGCTGCTGCAGATTTGTTTGCCTCTCACAGCTGGACTTTGCTGCCTTTATGGAGTAAAGCACTTCCTGTGTGTCACCATTTGATGAAGACCAGTGCGGCGAGCACGGAGTAGCCGAGGATGAGGAAAAGCACTTTGAGCAGCCGGTCCTGTTTGTCTTCCAGCTCTCGGGAGAGGATCTCAAAGAAGGTGACGAACAGGAAGGTGCCCGCGGCGAATCCCTGCAGCACCACAGACACCACGCTGCCCGCCAGCGTCTGGGTCGACTCGATGCCCATCCCCACCAACATCCCCAGCGGGATCATAAGGCTGACTGTGATGCCCAGCTTGGCGGCATCCTTCATGCCAAGCGATGCCTTGGCCACGCTCACCCCGAGGGCCACTGTGGCCAGCGTCTCGTGCACGGCCACGCCCAGGAAGAGGCTGGCCAGCTTTGATCCATCGTCCTGCAGGCCAAGCGCCAGGCCCTCGAATACAGAGTGAGCAGACAGAGCCAGCACCAGGCTGGCCAGCCGCAGAGGCCCCGCCCCCGCCAGCTCGGCTGGGCTGAAGTGTCCGTGCTGGTGTCTGTGGGAGCGGTGACTGCCCGCGCCCCCCGGCGTGCCGAGGTTGGAGGAGATGAAGGGCGTTTCGTACTCCGAGTCGCTGCCGGCCTCCGACCCAACGGCATTGAAGGTCTCCAGGTCGATGAAGGACGGCTTCTCTTTCCTGAAGGTGAGCACAGACTGCTCCACGAACACCGTGAGGAAGAAGCCGAGCATCATCATCGTCTCAGCCAGAGGATAGTCGCTGCTGATCTTCAGCTGCTGGAACACGTCGGCCACCTGAGGAGAGCCAACACAAACACTTAAGATCAAAAGTAGAAAGACCTGAGGCCTGTACGACGAAGCCGGTTCAACCTAACCTGGATATGTTTGAGTTACCCGGCTGACTTAATCCAAAACAAACGCGCTCTCGCTAAGCGGTCCTACCACGCGGGTTATCAACTCGTTAACTCAAGCCAGCCGTACCCTATCTAGTTAGGTGCGCCTTCACATAAAAGGGGTGGTATTTGGAGCGATCGACCAATCGGAATATTGGAGAAACCTAGAGCAAGTTATTTCACGGCGGAGGAGCAGACGGTGATCATGAGCCAATTCGCAGATTTGAAGCACATAATTAAGGCAAAAAGCAGTACCCTTGCGGCTGCCAAAAGTCGCCAACAATGTTGGAAGCAGATTGCAGACTCCGTGAATGCGTAAGTAAAATACGTATGTAACAGCGTGCACAGCTGCACATCTTTAAAAGTGTATTGGATGCACGGCAGTCATGTACAAAAATAAATCCGGCACTTCCAGATGAATTCTTTTGTTTATCGGATAAATAGTAGCCTAATTAAAATACCAACTTGATCATTGAGTGGCAGCCTTTTTTTCTTTATAATATCATCGCCCGAGGGTCACAAGTGGACTTTAAGCCTAATATTTTTGTAATCCTTTTAATTTATAGCATTATTTTTTTCGTTTTTCAGATGTAACCCCAGCGGGTCTAAAAGGACCTGGGAGCAAATGAAAGTCAAATATAAAAACATCATTCAATCTGGTAAGTTTCCCTCTTTTGAGATCTTAAAAATACAACTACACGTTTTGAATTGCTTCAATTAGTCTGTGTTTCATAACTGTATAGGAAAGCGGTCACATTTTTTCCCAATTCTTGCAGCCAACCGGAAAAAAAATGAGCAGAGGAAGACAGGAGGGGGCCCTCCTCCGCCAGATTTCACCCCTGCCGAGGAGCTGGCCCTCAGCAACAATGCGGGTCGGCCCTTGATGGTAGGGGTGGAAGGGGGGGTCTCTACTGACCCTGGTGGCAGCAGCTCCCACCACATTTTTATACAGGGTAAGAGTCAGGGAGCTTTAAACAGCTGTGATGCTATAAAACACAATTATATATCTATTTTTGTGGGAGTAAGTAACATGTAGGCCTATTTTATTGTTCTGCAGATGATGGGGAGAACGTGGTGTTGCTGCCCCCCCCCAAATCACCCACTACCTCTTACAGAGGTAACGTAACCTTTGGTATGTCACCTATATGGTCGCTGAATATGGATAACACAGACCATTTACATGTCTTCTTTTTTTCAGGAGGGCCTAGATGATGAGACGCTGTCGGTCTGCTCGGAGAGCGCTCTGGCGGTACACTTTAGTATTTTGTTACCAATGATATGAAGTTTTCAATTTGCCCTAACACAGATAGAGAGGGTGTGGCCACGTTGCTTTAATTGATTCTTTCTGATTACTTGCACATGGTGGTGGTCTGCACATGGGACAAATAACTACTCTCTATTGAAAAGATATTTGCTTTGCTCAATTTGCAGGAAGAAGGAACTCTTCCTCCCACGCAGCCTGGGCCCTCCACATCTAGGCCCTCATCACGACAAGTAATTAATTAAACTAAATTTAAAAGTATAGTCAAGTTTAAAATGGTTAGCTTTCTTGCTGTGAGCCATGCTTGAATGTTAAAGCAACATATATGTGTTTCATGTGTTTCAGGCTGAAGCAGACACTGTGAGGGCCCTTTACAAACGGACCCTAGTCCAAAGCATCCAATTTAATGAGCTGCTCATAGAGCACCGAAAGCTCTTAATTAAAAAAAACAAGCTGGAGGTGGAAGAATTGGACAGAGAAAGACAGGTAATTTTGTAACATTCAGTAATTTATTTTCAAGTCAAATGAAAGGTGCATAAGGTGACCTTTACATCTTTTAGGATACCTAAAAGAGAAATCCCTTTTTTCTTTACAGAAAAAGTAAACAAATTATGTATTTTTCTCTTTTTCCTTCAGGAATGGCTGAAAAAATAAAAACTCCAACATAAATCATCCAAGGCCTCGCTCTCTGTGTTCTTTTTTTATTAAGCAAATAATAATGCGATGGCTTCTCTGACAGCCCTGCCAGTAGGGTAGTCCAGGGTGATGGGGTCTACCACATCAGCAGGTTGGGGGTTTGCAGGAGGGGCCCTCCCCTTCCTCATTGTGGCGATGTTGTGCAGCACAACACAGGCCGTTATGATGCAGCAAGCTCTTTCAGGGGCCACTCTGAGCCCCCGCAGGCAGGTGAATCGGGCCTTCAATATGCCAAAGGTCATTTCAATCCTGACCCTGGTTTTGGCATGGGCCACATTGAAACTGGTTTGTGGCCCTTCACCAGGGTCAGGATACGGGGTCATCAGGAAAGGCTGGCAGGCATAACCCCTGTCCCCGAGCAGCACTCCACTGAAGAGCCCTGAAGATAAAGGAACATTTCCATAATAAGTACCACAAAAGGCAGCTTCAGAAGCACAAAACAATAAGAATGTACAGTTGCCATACCCTGCCCGATTTTGTGACACAGTGAAGACTCAGAGAAGATCCTTGAGTCATGGACTGACCCAGGCCACTTTGCCTCAAGGCTTGTGATGAGACACCTGTGGTCACATGTGGCCTGCAAAAGCATTTGGGGTTAACAAGCCTACTTCCACAATAAGAGCATCATAGTCAGTGTAGCATCAATGTTCATTTGCAATGAGTCCGAGATAAAGATAGTCCAAGTGTGAAACATGTACTGTGTGAATATTTAAATGTGTGATTTCCTTTAATCACCCAGACTTCAATGTGTGTTCTATAAGTGAATGTGCAAGATTTACCTGAATGTTGAGGCCGTGGAATGATTTGCGATTCACATAGTCACCTTCATTATCTCCCTGACACGCAGAGATCGGTATATGGCAGTGTTTCTCAAAAAGGGGCGCAGAGGCAAGACAGTATGGGCTCAGAACAGTCTCATAATACACACATGCACACAGAAGGATTCACACTTGTATTTCATGATCCGCAAAAGGAGTCACACTTGTATTTCCGGATCCACACTTGTGTTTGTCAATGCACACACAAATGTGTTCCGTTTCATATACATGTAAATAAAATCCAAATACAGAAAAAGGTTTTACATGTATTTTTGATCCTCACATTTCTTTTCCTTTTAAAACCGCTGAACCTGCAAACACAAACCGCTTTCTGTGCATGGATCACTGTGCATTCGTGTGTGGGTTTTTTGTAGTGATGTGACGGTCGCGAACGAGCCGATTCTTTTGAAAGGCTCTTTGGTACGAACGAGGGGAACCGAGTCGTACTTGGTGAGAGCCGTTCTTGTTATCGTTCAATCGTTGGTCCGCACTCACTGCCTGCCAAAATCCACTCGCCTTTTAAAAAAGCTTGATTTTGTTCCCCAAACGTATTCTGTGAAGACCCGCCCCTACTCTGATTGGTAGGTTTCAGCACGAGGAGTGAGATGGGGTGGGTCTTAACGGAATACGCGAGAGAGAGAGAGGTCATAACAAGTGGTACAGGACAGGGAGACGACGTGTTTTTCGGATGGAAAATGAGCCAAACTTGAAAACGCAGCAGCATTTGGATGCACTTCAACCAAAACCCAGGCAGTGATAAAGCGCACCATTTGTAAAGGCAAAATATCCTTTAAAGCAGGGTCAACAAATAATCTCCATCGCCACTTAAAAACACAGTATCTAATATTAAGAGTTGCATGAATTGAATTCAAGGCAAGGCAACTTTATTTACTTAACACATACAGAGGTTAAATTCAAAGTAGTACATTCACTGACATGAATGACATGGATAAGGCGCCACCTTGTGTCATGTTTACAATGCCGATTATTGACATTAGGTCTGGCAATACAGTCAATCATTATCCTGGTGATTATTTCGCAGATAAACCTAGTAACCCCGCCCCCTTTAAAAAAAAACGGCTCTTTTGAACGGCTCTTTGAAAGGAACGGAGCCATAAGATCCGGCTCCCTTCAAAGAGCCATAATTCCCATCACTAGTTTTTTGAGACTCCCCTGACGGTCACCCGATTCGTACTTGCAATTTTTTCTATCTATAGCCAATCAGATGTCTCCTTCATTCTAAGCCAATCACATGAGCGCGTCCCCACGAGGGTATGATTTCTTGCGTTCATGACGTAGCACTTCATATACGCATTTTGCGCTGTCCGGAGCTGACAGGTCCATGGAGCCTGCCTTCAGGCGCTAATCTCAGGACCGAAGGACCGTAGTATAGTCGTCTTAATTTTTACGGTATTATTATTCAAAGATAAATAAGGAAGTGTGTGTTATATGAGATGGCAGAGAGGTTTCAGCTCCGATTATTAAATCAAAGAGGCTTAATGTTTTCGATTATATTATTTCACTATAGCTATGTGGACGGTATCAAAGTCCAATGTTGACAACATTTATCAATAGCGGGTGTAACTAAAATACAAGATGTTTTTTTATATATATATTATTATTAATATTATTAATAATAATAATATAAAATATTGTATTTGCGTGCATTACCTGTTCGAAAAGTGGCGCTGTACTGAGAGTGGCGATTTTATTTTGTAATTATATAATTATACAATACTTGTAATAATGGTGCGTTCACACCGGACGCGATGCGAATAATCGCTCGAGTTTCACGCCGGCTGTCAGCTGTGTTTACTCGCCTCATTCATCTGAGTCAGCTTTTCGAGCCGTATCTGGCCGTGCAACACTTATACTGTATGCCGAAGCAGTGGCGGACTGGCCCATCGGGATCGTACCGAAGTGGGCCGGACGTTGCCCACTCGATCGGCCCCCACTTCGGGTAACGGCAGGGCGGACTGGCCATCTGAAGTTGCTTTGGACAGGGCGACAGAGGTCCACCGTTTCCCCGCAGCGAGGCTCCCCCGTTTTTGACGTTCACTGTCTAGCAATGGCTTCGTAGTACAGGCACTGATCGATTAGGCCTTTAAACCAGGGGTCGGAACCCGAGCAGGCCCGGTTCTACGGGGGTGCATAAGGGTGCTTGCACCCTCAGTTGAGTCGTTATGCACCCCTAATTTGAAAATTTAAGTGAAAAATATTACATAATATAATAACAATAATAAAATAGTAGTATTAGTAATAATAAGAAGAAGAAGACACGCTAACACCGCAAAGCCTCCACGCCCCCCGCAGCAGACCCCATCCGCCGCCGCCCGCACGAAGAGACGCAGCCTCGCTCCAGCCGCCGCCATCCACCTCCTCCTCCGCACTCCTCCTCCTCCTCCGTCTCAGCCTCCTCCTCCGCCTCCTCCTCCGCCGCTCCTCTCCGCCTCCTCCTCCTCCGCCCCTCCTCCTGCCTCCTCCGCCCTCCTCCTCCTCCTCCCCTCCTCCTCCTCCTCCTCCCCCTCCTCCTCCTCCTCTCCTCCTCCCCTCCTCCTCGCCTCCTCCTCGCCTCCGCCTCCTCCCCTCTCCCCTCCCGCCTCCTCCCGCCTCCGAATTATTTTCCTAAATAATTGTATTGTGGTTAATAACATACATAGCTGCATTTATTTGGTCAATTTAAAACAAGGGGTGGGGACCTCCGGCCCCCGGGCCGTCTACGGCCCGCGAGACCATTTGGTACGGCCCTCGAGGTAATTTATAAACACACGCAAAAAAGAAAAAAATGTAAGAAATCTAGACCGCAAAAAAATTAAACAAGCGAGTGCCTGTTTTTCCTGGCCAAGGTCAGGGTCCTTGAACACAACACAAGCCTAACGTGTCATCACGTGGTATATGTCTGGTCTGACAGGGGTGTAGTCCTGCCAGAGAGCACCAGAACGCTGCTCCGCCACTTCCAAAGATTGCAGTACCCATAAGGAGCTGTACAAATGCCGCAGTTTTTGCGTGGCTGTGTCTTTAGTTGTAAGCCCAGTGGTGATCTGTTCATCTGTCATACTGATCATACAGTCAATAACGTTGTTGTTATTAGCATCTGGTTAGCTAGCTATGCTAACAAATATAAGAAGCTTCTACAACCAGTGAGGTAAAGGCACATCTTTATCATTATAGTTAGAGAATAAGAAAAATAAGAGTATAAAGTAAACAGGTATAAAATACTATATTACAGTAAAAAAAAGTTGTTATTAATAAACAAGAATAGAGTTTAAAAGGGGAGTGATTTGTAAAATATCCAAAAAGAAAAAGAAATCTGCTTACAGTTCTGTTTCATATGGGTGTTGAGAGATGTATCCATAGATCTCTTAATGTTGCTCTCAAAGTGCACCAGATTGATGCTTTCAACTTCAACATTTAAACAAAAATCTTCCCGGGGGAGCATGCCCCCCGGACCCCCCTAGAGGAGGTTAGGTCCCCCCCCCACTTAAATCATGTCCACATGGATAGGAAACTAAATACATTTGCACTCATCTTGTGTCCATATCTTTCTGTTTTGGGGGTCATGCCACAACCGTGCACGTGCATGCATGCGTGAGTCAGGGTAAGATATCTGGATTAAGAGGTTGCTTTTTCTTTGCACAGCATGAAAGAAAGGCGAAATGAATGGGCTGTGATTTTAGTTTTTTTAAGCAGAGGTCAATCATTTGTACGGCCCTCGGAGGATGTTGAAAAAATTGAAATGGCCCTTGAGAGGAAAAAGGTTCCCCACCCCTGATTTAAACGGTAAGTAACGTTATTATGTCAGGTGCGCGTGACCTGTGCCGCTGCGCGTTCGTCATCTGCTAGGTGCTTACACATCAGTCAATGATGGACATCAGAAAATGGTTAAAACAACCAGCCCTTATCGCCAGCAGTAACACTGCATCTACTGCAGGTAATAACAGTTCAGATCATGGGGACATTACGTTACCCGCGGCCACTGTCGTGGACACTAACGTCCTCCCACCCGACTCGCCGGCTTTGCCCTGCCTCGCCCACGGAGGAGGAGCAGCCGCAGCCGTCTTCGTTGCCCCAAACACCGCCACCCCTCGGCGGCCCGCATGTGCCAGAGGACCTCGGCAAAACAGAGCCTGCCCAGTATTTAAAAAAGTACCCAACTCGCCTGTACAGTGGGGTAAGGCGCTCATTTTGCAGCTTATGGTTTCAAAACAGAGATTGGCTGGAATATTCATGTAAAAAAGATGCCATCTTCTGCTATGCATGTAGACATTTCGGTCTTTAAAGGGGAGTGATTTGTAAAATATCCATAAAGAAAAAGTAAATCTGTTTACAGTTCTGTTTCGTTTGGGTGTTGAGATGTATCCATAGATCTCTTCATTTTGCTCTCAAAGTGCACCAGATTGATGCTTTTAACTTCAATATTTAAAACAAAATCTACCCGGGGGAGCATGGACCTGTCAGCTCCGGACAGCGCAAAATGCGTACATGAAGCGATACGTCATGAACGCAATAAATCATACCCTCGTGGGGGCGCGCTCATGTGATTGGCTTAGAATTGAGGAGACATCTGATTGGCTATAGATAGAAAAAATTACAAGTACGAATCGGGTCACCGTCAGGGGAGTCTCAAAAAACCCACACACGAATGCACAGCGATCCATGCACAGAAAGCGGCTTGTGTTTGTAGGTGCAGAGGTTTTAAACGGAAAACAAATATGTGAGGATCAAAAATACATATGTAAAACTTTTTTCTGTATTTGGATTTTATTTACATGAATATAATGAATAATTTCAGCCAGAGGTAGCATATCAATATTAAAAAGCAAAGGTCCTAAGATGGAGCCTTGAGGAACCCCGCATGACATATTTGTCAAAGTTGATGTGTAATTGCCTATTGAGACAACGTTTTTTCTGTCCTTTAAGTAGGTACTAAACCAATTTAGAGCTGTTCCTGAAACTCCCACCCAGTTTTCTAGACGGTCTAGCAATATGTTGTGGTCAACAGTGTCAAATGCAGAGCTGAGATCTAATAATACTAAAACTGATATTCTGCCACTGTCTGTGTTTAAATGAATGTCATTTAAGACCTTTACAAGTGCAGTCTCAGTGCTGTGGATTGGTCGAAAGCCCGACTGAAACACATCAAAACCGTCATTTCAAAACATGAAATGACTCAACTGTTGAAAGACAACTTTTTCAATCAATTTGCTTAAAAAAGGAAGGTTTGATATTGGCCTGTAATTATTCATTACGGTTGTGTCTAAGTTATGCTTTTTTAGGAGCGGTTTAATTACTGCAGTTTTCAGGGCCTGCGGAAATACACCTGTTTGAAGAGACTTGTTTACTATGTGTAGTATATCTGAGGCCATGCAGTGAAAAACAGTTTTGAAAAATCCTGTCGGAATAATATCGAGGCAGCAGGAGGAGGATTTCAGATGTTGAATAATGTCTTCCAGGTCATTAGCATTTATCAGACGGAATTGAGTCATGATGTCTGGATTGACTTTAGGTGGACATAGGGACAGTACATTTGCTGTACCTGATGCAGAGGCAATGACTACTTGTCTAATTTTCATGATTTTGTCAGTGAAGAAGCAGGCAAATTCATTGCAGGCCCTGGTGGATAGACATTCTGAAGCTACTGACACTGGGGGGTTTGTTAGTCTGTCGACGGTAGCAAACAAGGCACGCGAGTTGTTTTTATTTTTGGTAATGATGTCAGAAAAGAAAGACTGTCGTGCCTTTTTTATTTCCTGATTATAGACGCAGAGTCTCTCTTTATATATTTCGAAGTAAACTTGGAGATTTGTTTTTCTCCACCTGCGTTCAGCTTTTCTGCACTCAGTTTTTGCTGTTCTCACAGTCATGGCTTTTCTCCATGGAGATTTTTTATTGCTAGATACTTCCTTTGTTTTAATGGGAGCAATGGTATCCATGACATTTGTTATTTTGGAATTAAAATGATCAACTAGCTAATTTACTGAGAAGTTAGCATGGGCAATTGAGGGAGTAAAAATCTGAGCAAACATTTCCTCTGCATTTTCAGTTAAGTGACGTATAGTGTAGGGATGCCAGAAACTGACCATGATCAAAATCGAAAATCGGACAGCCCTGGCGAATATTAATCGATTATTCGACCCCCCCCCCCCCAAGAGAAGTTGCAGAGGCGGCAAGGTGCAGATCTGGACGGGTCGGTGCCGCGGGAGCATCAGCTGGACGGGCCAGCACCGCGGGAGCATCAGCTGGACGGGCCAGCGCCGCGGGAGAACCAGCTGGACGGGCCGGATCATCTGGACGGGTCAGTGCCGCGGGAGCATCAACTGGATGGACCGGATTGTCGGACAGGGCCGCGAAGCGGTTCCGAAGGCCCAGGCGAGGCGGTGAAGTTACCCCATTCAAAAAGCTCCTGCGCACCACTTCAGACCACGACTGCTGGTGGCTAGGTGTCGAGCTGTCGGAAGGCCGTGGACAGGTGGAAGGATCCCACAGAACTGTGTCATGGATAGTTGTACTGAACGAGGCAAGCTGTTTAGACTGTACCGATGCTACCTCCATGAGACCGGACACGAGAGACTCTTTTTCTTTCAGCTCGTCAGAAAGCCGTCGGATATCCTCCTTAAGGTCTGTTATCTGTTTATTAGCTATTTGAAGTAGCACATCATCTTCAGGGTGGTTTGATGGCATTCTTGAGTGTGAAAGGTTTAGGGCAATTACTGTCCCATGCACCAATGCCAAACTGCGTCAAGATGTTGTATAAGCAGGGATGGCTAAATGTTTGTAAGAGGAGAGCTAGATGCTAACAGATGCTAACATGTAGTGGGAGCCTGTACAAATTGCGACTGCCTTGCTTGAGGTCAGCGTGATTCTGACAAGAGACACTGCAAAGGGTTTAGTCTGTCCCTAAAGATCCTCTCCCAACTGAGAGCGCCTCTCACAATTCTCGCTCCGAGCTCCACAGTGTCATCAACAAATGGTGACGTCATTTTCACAGAGATTTAATTGGTCGATAGGCTGAGCTTTTATAGACTGATCTCTTAGCCTGCAACCTAACCTGCTCGGGACCAGGGGCCTATACTACGAATCTAGTTCAACATATCCTGGATATGTTTTGAGTTATCCGGTTGACTTAATCCAAAAAAAACCCCGCTCTCGCTAAACTGTCCTACGACGCTGGCTATCAACTCGATCGCTCAAGCCAGCCGTGTCCTATCTAGTTAGGTGCGCGTTCACATGAAAGGGGTGGTATTTGGAGCGATCGACCAATCACAAACATGGACAAGCCGTGTACTGACAGATATATTTCCTGAATGAAAAGTCAACTAATATTAGACAAATATGAAGACGTTAAACTTTAAACATCCATGACTTAAACACTTTATCCAGGATAAAAGCCACATAGTTGCAGCTGCAAGGTGAATACAGCTGGTAACAGAAAAAGTGTTTGAATACGTTCATTAACAGTTTTATTTATGATATCACTGCTGCCTAAGACACGATCTGACTTTAATTACATTTGACTTGAGTGTTTCGTCAACTTAATGTGTTGCTTAAAATAATACTTCTGCATACAGTATGTGACACTGTGAGTGTTGCACGGCCAGATACGGCTCAGCTGACTCAGATAAGGAAATATATGATACATTATGATGTGATATCATGTGATATGAATGATAATGGGACACATCGCCGTCTGCACTCACAGTGCTGCGGACTGTAGGCTACGTAATGTTACTTTGATCCGGTTACTTATGTTGTGGCAGATATTTAAGTAAGCTTTCTTAACGCTAATGTTATAATAGTCAGATTACTCTGAAGATGGGAGGTGATATTCTATTAATTTTCACGTTCACACAGTCGGTGATTTTGGCCGGCCGTCTTTCCTGCAACGGCAGTTTAAACTGTATTTCCTTTCTCCTGTCATATGAATTGATCGCTTTAAACTCCGCATACTGAGCTCTGATTGGTCAGCAGGCAGTGCTTTTATCCTGGAACCTATCCTGCTCCGGAGGCTAGCCGTTCAGAATAAGTTATCTAGCCCGCTAAGAAGTGAACCAGCGTCGTAGGACCGGAAATCCAGGAAGTTAGCTTGCTAAACGAAAATCCTGATTCGTAGTATAGGCCCCTGGTTAGCCGCTCAGCATAAGTTACCATGGAGATCTAGCCCACTAAGAAGTGAACCAGCGTCGTAGGACCGGAAACCCAGAGTTTTCCCTGAAGTTAGCTCGCTAAGCGAAAATCCGGCTTCGTCGTACAGGCCTCTGCTCACCAGCAGCACAAGTACACTATAAACAAGAAAAATTACTAGAAGCATAAGAATATACATTAAAAAAAAACATTACAAAGTAGGCAGTACAAATCCATGTATTGTATTTTATATGTGTTTCGAATTATAATTATATTGTAAAAATAAAACAATATGTAATGCAGTTACAGTTGAAATTCAGTTACAGTTGAAATTCTTTTTTGGTACAGTGGTGAAAAATAATAAGTTATAGCCCTGCAGCAAAACAGAGTAGGCTAAGAGTAATATCATGCATGCGCTTAATGGGGCGGTTCTAGGGGGGGGGGCAGTGCCCCATAACACTGACTTTGGACCCCCTGAAAATGAAAAGTTTATGATTAAACGATTTCTTGGCTGACGGAATAGGCGGAACTAACGTTATTTGTCATTCTAGTCGGACCCATTAGAGCGTAAAAACTGTAACTATAAGTATCTGAAATAAATATGTGTACCAATAACTGTATTGCATTGTTTTCTTATGCACAATTACTTCATACTGTCTTTGTCTTTTTCGTCCTGCATTTATTGTGCCCCTCTCAGAAAATAACAGGCGCCAGCCTGGCCCCCCCAGTCAAATTGGTCTAGAACCGCCACCGCTAAACAAACTGTAGTGTATGCAGTGGGTGTTTCTCAATGTCGAGGACGCTTCCTTGGTAGGACATGTCCCTCCGAGTCAGGTCTTTCAGAAGCTAGGCAAGAATCCTTCCTTTCATTCGGAGAACGAAGAATGGGACAGGCTAGCAAGTGTGCAGGTGTGCGTCATATGAGAGGCCCCGCCTTAAATTTTCCGCCAAAAAATTTGGAAATTGGTCCATGCGCAAAGCATTGTGGGGATTTTAAGACCGCGGTGCATCCTCTAAATTTCCCGCAACGAAGTATTCAGTCCTCGGTAGAATTCCAAGGATCCTGGACATTGGAACAGTCCTTCGGCGGGACTCGATGACGTAGCATCCTTGAAATAGTGGCTCTGGAGGAGCCTTCCTCGACATTGAGAAACACCCAGTATGTGTGTTACTACCTTCTCTCTGACGGCGGGCAGCAGAGCGTTGAAGCACGTGGCCAGGAACACCCCCCCTCCGAAAGAGTTGCAAAGAGACAGCGCTCTCCTGTACCTCAGGGCCCCGGAGTCCGCCTGCAGGAGGCGCACTGGGACCAGCACGCCCGCCAGCATGAGGCCGAACAATCCCAGCAGCCCGAGCAGCTTGGCCACCAGGATCTCCATCCTGAAGCTCAAACACACAGCCTCATCACACACAACTCCACTCTGCTGCTGCTGGGACACACAGAGACATGGGAGTATGAGACATTAGATTACATCAGATTCTAAAGTCTAAGATAAGATGTCCTTACAGCAATACAAACCTTATGGAAACCATCAACTACTTAAAGGAAACACACACCGGGTGTCTGTTTGGCTGTTTACACCGTTTTGGACTATTATACCAATGTCGTCGTTTCAAGTGATAATTGACATCAAGTTGCACGACAAAATCCCAACTTCCTGAGAGAAACTTCAAAATAAAACATAACCGCGAATCATAACCATGATCATAACCAGTCTATGAATACATCTCCCAAGTATATGTACCTTTAAGTAATCCCTCAGATTTGTATAACATCAGTATTTTTACGTTTCTTCAGTAAGCTAGTTTTAACTCGTTAACACCATAGAGGTTAACACCGAGGACCGCATTGAGCACTTCCGCTCTTGTTCTTGTTAAGAGCAGCTTGCTTGACGGAGTTCCTCACATTAGCTAGCTGTCGTTAGCCCACCGGCAGCTACATTTTCTAACTAGCACCTGAAATCCAAAGTTATAAATGAAAGCGGTGGTGCTCATCTGTGTTTTTGACTCGAAGCTGCGTCCTCGACTAAACATAAATATTTTAAACACGCAAAACATTAGTCAGCGTCATGTGTTTACCAGTGCGACCCTCCGTTTCCTCTCCATACATCCATGTTTCTCTCCAGCAGGTGCATGAAAACACTTCCTCATTGACGTCACGCGGCCTCCGGGCGTTGAGTAGTGGAAATGTAAATGACGTAGGTGAGGAACAGACAATTTAATAATTAAGAGAAATGCTTAATTTTGGAGGAATAGTGTCGGGGGAAGAAATCCTATCGTTTACTGAAGTAAAAACACTAATGGAAAAAGTAGCCTATTCAGGAAAATGTAATGTATTATCAATATGCATCAATTAATAGTTTGGTTTGTGAAAATAGTGCGACCGCCATCACAATTAACCGGAGGCAAAAGTGAAACCTTCACACTGTCCGTTTTGTCCAACCAACAGGCAAATCTTATCAACAATGTATATGATTGTATTACTAAATATGAAACCGGTATCTCTGATGAGGATATGTACGTTTCTGGGGAGAAGACTGTTTTGCTGTGAAGCCTCTCATAATTTGGTTACTGCGAATTGACTGTAGTCAAACCTGATTTTACACCTTTAATATTAGACACGTTATTCAAGTTAAAATATACATTTAGATTTTTTTAGTGTTACTTTTTACGATTTAAGTCTTGGTTTCTCAAGTTTCATGTCTGTAACAATTGTACACGCATGATCCGTAATGACAGGAAAACAAAGATACTGCCTTATATTAAAGGTCACACATAAAACAGGTTGGGAATGTGGATTTTCTTAAGGAATAAAAAAAAGCATAGTCCTAAAAAAAGATAATTTGTGCTGCTGAAATTCTATTTTTTGTTCTGTAAATTAATTCAAGAGTTGTTAAACATCCTCCTTCCTCCTTTGCTTTGTTCGAAATGAAATGAATGAAATCGGATATACAAAAAATGGTTTCTCTTGTCTAATTTGTGTATATTAAGGTTTATTAAAAATAACATAAGTATATACATTTATTGTTTTATACTAAACCTTTTAACGCCACTAAAATGAATCAAATCTAACAATCTGATAGGAGGAATCCCTTTTCAATACAGATGCCGAGAGCAAGAGAAGCTGTATTAGACCAGCTGCCATGGAGTTACAGACACTGTTGGGATCTTTAACCAAATTACTGCATTTACTTTTTGCCAAAACAATTTTAGTGTGGATTCCACGAGATAGTGAAGCAGTATTCCGGTAAAGCTAGTGCTGAGGAAAACAGACGTCAGACGGGAGGAGGGTGTAAAATGTTGAGATGTTCTTTTTTTTTTTTTTTATTGTCAGACTGTTTGAACAGCTCTCTGCCTCTTCACAACTCAACCTGCCACACACACTAAATTAACCCTAATTTCTCTCTCACACACACACACATTCAGATCTATCGATAAACAAAGTACTGGACAAAGACATTGAAAGTTACACTGTGTAGTTTAAGAAGACATTTTAAGCTTCAGTTCAAACTCTGCTGTTTAACATCCTTTTCCCTGTTAGATCATTATTTTTCATTAGAATTCTTCAGTATTTCTTGACAAAATAGAGTCAAAATGTTCTTCCTAAACACAACAGAGCCGCAGGAAGTGGGGGTTTGACGGCTCCTAAATAAAGCGGGAGCTCCTCCTCCTCTCGTGCAGTGATGGGGGGAGGGGGGGGAACTTCCTTTTAGTCCTTCGAGTTATAAATGATCCAAATGAGCTCTTCTCCTTCTCCACACACACAAACCTGGCCAACCTGAAACAGAGACAGGAAGTGAAATGTTAACTGCCAAAAGAGTAAAACAGGAGGTCGTCTGTGAGCCCACTTTGATACAGAAATGTGGTCTTTTAATCAAGATGTATTACTTTATTATCACACTTTGAGTGGTGTCGATACTAAATCAGATCCCACTGGGAAAAAAGCTCGAGCAGAGCATCATAAAATGTCAAAGTAAAAATATATGCAGTGAAAAACATTATTAGATTGGAAACAAAAACAACATTGTCCGAAGCTGGTCAGTAGGATGTTTTTATTAAATCAGATAATGAAAGAACTAGGGCTGTCAGTCGATTAAAATATTTAATCGCGATTAATCGCATGATTGTCCATAGTTAATCGCGATTAATCGCACATTTTTTATCTGTTCTAAATGTACCTTAGAGGGATATTTTTCACGTTTTTAATACTCTTATCAACATATGAGTGGACAAATATGCTTTATATGTTTGTTTATTATCATTTGAACAATGACAAATATTCTCATGAATATTAAACACAACAACCTCTGAACATTACAAATATTCGCCTCAATTCAACCTGGAACCTCTCTCATACAATAATACTGTGTGTGTGTGTGTGTGTGTGTGTGTGTGTGTGTGTGTGTGTGTGTGTGTGTGTGTGTGTGTGTGTGTGTGTGTGTGTGTGTAGAGACACTGTAATGGATCGTTGGAGCTATGTGCGGCTCAAGGCATATATGCTCGAACGTGTGCTGCCTGGACGCTGCAATCATGTAGCGCGTACTATCCGTGCTGAGTGTGCTGACTTTTCGTACAATGTCCCACTGTCTGGCTACCTGCATAAGTGCTCGGCGCAGTTGTCGGCGAAATGTCGCTCCTCTGTTTTCATTGAAACAGCTCCTTATATCCGTTAGCGCAGCTAGCTAGCACCAGATGCTAACAACACGTAAGGTGTGCCTCGCTCGCGCCACACATACACACACCCTCCCGGTCCTCCCGATGGCCAGTCCGGGCCTGCCGGTGAGCGTGGAAGTGTGGTCTGCCACAAGCGGGCGGCAGGAGCGGGGCTGTCAGCATCAGTTTGTAGATGGTATTTTAAACTCGATGCGCTCTGAAACTACGGGGCGGCCGAGGACAAAAAATACACATGCGTTAATCGCGTTAAAATAATTAGTGGCGTTAATTTTTTTTTGCGTTATTAACGCGTTAACTTGACAGCCCTACTGATAATCAATCTTCATATTTATGTAAATAACGGAGATTTCATATTAGCTGCTACGAGAGTGTATGACAGCTTCCGGTTTTGGGCATTCTGGCTACGCATCACTCATTCACCAATGGGTAATGTTTAGATGGATTTTAGGAACTTCCCCTCGATTCTATTGGCTCTATTGGTTAAAAAGAGGTGTCAATCATCAAAATCGACCAAGGGGGGCCATAGATATGGAAAATGCACCCAAATGACCCCAGAAGTGTTTTTCTTTTCTAAATCTCTCTAAAAAAGGTCAAATGTCACTTGTTTTGCATCAATCTTGATACAGGGTACTTATTATATGTTATAGTTTGGATTCCTAAAGCTTTTAGTCTACCTTACCATCATTCAAAGGTGGTTTTCACTATACAGTAAGTAATGTTTTTTTTTTTGGACGGACACTATCATTTATATTTTTTTTCTATGTTCAATCTGAATTTACTTTAAAATTAAAAAAATCTATATTGATTCTGACTTTTCTACATCCAACTCACAGGTTTATCATTGCTTTGAGAAAAAAGATTATTAATTTACCCCTTTTTAGAAGTGAAGATATAGTCATTTGTTCTGGGAATGTCATTTTCGTTTTTGACAAATGTTATGATGGATTATCAGTAATCATTTCAAAGTGACAGACACATTGGATTAACCTTCAGCAGCGTTTTATGCGTTTTAATGCCATTGAACACAACTTTTGATCAGAAAACAGAAAAGGTAAGACGTATTGGCCGTTTTGGCTCCGTAAAGCTACGTTGTGTGTTGTCTGGTTTTGCCTTCGCTGCCCTGAGTTCTGGTCGCACATGCGGCTTTCACACCAGCGCTTTTCCCTTTCTAGCTCCTAGCTAGAGCTTTTCTGGTTCAGCTCCGGTTTCCCTTTTCAGCTCCCGCTCTGTTCACACCGCCCAGAGCTGCCGCTGCTGCGTCATGACGTCACCGTTTACATCGCTGATTTTCTCCCCAACGGAGCTCACAACAACAACAACAACGGGGGGGACTGCGTCGGGTCGATGATCGTGTTGCTTTTAATCATACGAAGCCAGATTAAATTAAATAACGACTTCTCCAACCTTATACTTTTCTCCAGAGTGCCGTGGTTCATTGCTTATTAATGTGTTTCAGCGGCATTTAGCGACCGCTGCAGTGCTGGCTGCTCTTCCACGGGAGTTTATTCTCCCGTTAGCTCCGGGTTAGCTCACACGGCTCTAAAGTATTCACTGTCTGACTGTCACACAAGCAGCTGATACATATCCCCAGTTCCCCTTAAGTGAATGTGTGTCAGTCTGAATTGACGCTGTTTGGCATCACAACGCTGTTATGAAAGTTTCTCTGGTATAACATGGGTGATGTTAGCATAGCAACCGAAGCTAAACTGACTACTTGCTAAGCCGTTTTCTACAGGCACATTTTACCGGCGTATTTTTCATTATGATTCTACTTGTGATAGTCGGACATGACAACCTGTGCAGCCCATGTATTGATTCCATCCGATAGCTGCTATAATAACAAACAAAACGTCTGCCTGCTCTCCACAATGATCAATAACAGAGAACGGATGGTCAAAGTAAGGTACAAATAAACAGAATCACACGAAGCCTGGTAAAATGTGTGGTAAGTGTGTGGTTGCCTTCTAGTCACTTTGCTCAGCACTACTGCTTGTAGGCAGGCATGACGAGACTCTTCAGTCGACCCATGTTCAGGGGAGGTGGGTTTAGTTTCCTGCACGCCTCGACGTAAGCGACACCGCGTCATAGCTCCGAAGCTCTTGCCTCTAGACCAGGGGTGGGCAATTATTTTTTACAAGGGGCCACTTCAGAAACTCGAGCTGTGTTGGGGGGCCGAATCAAAAATAAGTTTAACTTAATTCTGCTCAATATACCAATACTGAAAAGGTGTTTTACAGTATGTTAAAGATAAGAAATGAATCAGCTTTATACAAAAAGAAATGAGTGCTTTTGACTTTTGTTTTTCAGTTAATTTTACTTGTTCAGTGAGAAAAATCCAGTCTGTCTTGGGCTTGAACAAGTGCACGGAAATCTGGTTCAATGTCTGAGGTGGATATGCGAAGGACAGCTGAGAGGTGATCATCAGTGATAGAGGATCTGTATCTGGATTTGTTGAACTTCATCACTGAGAATGTCTGTTCACATATGTAGGTAGATCCAAAGAGGACCCTCATCTTCTGAGCATGTCTCCTGATGTGTGGAAAGTTCTCCTCTTTCAGGGAAGCGTAAAACTCAGGCAGTGAGACTGACCTAAAGTGCTCTGACAGAAGTGTGTCAGACTGCAGGTCAATGAGTTCAAGCTGAACATCACTGGGTGCATCATCCACATGGCATGTAAATGGGGAAAATATCATGTTCATTTCATTCTCAACTGTTTTGAAGTCTTTAAATCGCCTTGAAAACTCACCATGCAGTGCTTCTAACATGGATGAGTACCTCTGGAGGTGATCAGCTTATGGTGTGGCTTCCTTCAGTGTTGGCAAGTGCGTGAGAATGTTGTCCTCCATTTGGCTTGAGAGAAGCTGCAGCTTTCTCATGAAAGCCTTCACTGCACTGTACATGTCATGCACAAAAAGGCCCTTGCCTTGCAGTTTGACATTTAGTTCACTCATTAGTGCAGTCACATCTACAGCAAAACCAAGGTCTGCCTTCCAGTCTGCATCTGAAAGCTGTGGGATGTCGTTTCCTTTCTTCACACAGAAGTCTTGAATCTCTTCTCTCAGGTCCCATACTCTTTTCAGCACTTTGCCCAGGCTGAGCCACCTGACAGCTGCATGGTAGGGTATGTCACGATGTTCAGTCTCACTTTCCTCCAAAAGTGCAACAAACTGTCTGTGATTCAATGCTCTTGCCCTGATGAAGTTAACTATTTTAGTTACAACATCAACAACATGGTTAATTTTTAACACTGACTTACACAACACTTCCTGATGTATAATACAATGCAAAAATACCTATTTCTGCTCAGGGTTAATTTCTGTCACTTTATCCTGCATTCTCTTCAATAGTCCAACATTTTTCCCTGTCAGATTTGGACAACCATCCGTTGTCACGCCTGCCAGCTTGTCCCATTTCAGTCCCAACTTTTCCACACATGCATTTACCTCCGTGAACAAATCACTCCCTGTTGTTGTACCTTTCATTGACTGCCAGCTCCTCCGTGATTTTGAAGTCTGTAGTTATCCCACGTAGGAAGATGAGTAGCTGGGCAGTGTCACGTACATCGCAGCTCTCATCCAAAGCCAAGGAAAAAAAGTCAAAGTTGACCGCTCTGTTCTGCAGCTGAAGCTCCAGATTTCCCGCGATGTCCTCAATTCTCCTCGTAACAGTGCGTCGGGAGAGCGGCACTTTCAAACACTCCTTAATGAACTCTCCCTCCGAAAACGGTTTACTTTTAAGACATAACTCGTCTTGACAGCTGCATCTCTGGATGTGGAATGTTTTGTGAAAATGTGTTGTTGGCTTTGCAGCTTAGCTAGCAAAGCATCCGACCCCTTTGCCTGCTCTTCCTCAGACAGGTTCTTGTATTTATCTGCGTGTTTGGTAGCATAGTGGCGACTCAAATTGTACTCCTTGAACACAGCGACCTGCGCACCACAAACTAAACACACAGCTTTACCTTTCACTTCTGTAAATAAATACTTAGCGGTCCATGTCTTGTTGAAAACGCGGCATTCAGTATCGATCTTTCTTTTTTTGCCCTTAGCGGACATTTCGAGGACTAGCCGGCCAGCATCACTCGTAGCTGTTCACGGCATGCGCGTTTACGTAAATAAATAAAAAAAACAGCAGCTTCCTTTTCAAAATAAAAGCAACACAGTTAGAAAAGTATTTACGCCATGCAAGCAATACAGCTGTGTTGCTTTTATTTTGAAAAGGTTGCTGTTTTTTTTTCATTATGTTATAATTTATGATCAACCTCACACGGGCCGGCCAAGGCCGGCCAACGGGCCGGATGTGGCCCGCGGGCCGTAAAATGCCCACCCCTGCTCTAGACCGACAATTTTTTGGAGCTGGAAGTGAACCGCATTCCGGAGCTATGAGGCGGCAACGCTGCGGTGTGAACAGGAAAAACCGATACTTTTCAGGCTCCAGCTCCGAGCCGGAGCTGAAAAAGCACCGGTGTGAAAGGGGCAACAGTGATTATACTTATACCTCTATAATCTGTGGAATCTCAGCTTTCATTTGATATCTTGTTTGTGCAGATCCGATAAGTAATACAATATTTGTACCGTGAGTTCTGTGCGTTAGCATTTTTTCGCTTAGTGCTAAGAGGCTTGGTATTACCCTTGTGTTTCGTTTAGCTAAAAATGGTTCATATCGTCAGTTAGCGGGTATGACACATTAATAGGTTGTTAAATGTTAAGAAGCCCTGAGACACAATTTCGTGAAAAAAAAGCCTGTCGGGCTTAACAGGTTAAACGGTCCAAAACCCCTGGTTACTGCAGTTATTTACGCCCCCCCCCCAAACCAACCCTGCTTTCTCCTCTGACCTGTCTGGCCATGGTGGTGAGTGCATTACTTATTGTTTTCTTTGAAACAATGAGTGCATTACTTATTGTTTTCTTTGAAACAATTGTACTTGCTAACTCCAGGTCTTTCTGAAGACCCTTGGCTCTTGGACAACTCTTCTGATCATAATTTTCACTTCTCTGTCAGAAACCTTGCGAGGAGCACCTGGTCGTGGATGGTTTATGGTGAAATGATGTTCTTTCCACTTCCGGATTATGGCCCCAACAGTGGTCACTGGAACATTCAGAAGTTCAGAAATCCTTCTGTAACCAATGCCATCAGTGTGTTTTGCAACTAAAAGGTTCCGAAGGTCTTGAGAGCACTCTTTGCTTTTCCCCACCATGAGAGCTTTCTTGTGTGACTCCTTGGTAATGAGACTTCTTTTTGTAGGCCATCAGTTGGGACTGAACCAGCTGATATTAATTTGTATTACCAAGGGACAGGATTGCTTTCTGATTACTGATATATTTCAGCAGGTGTCTTGGCTTTACATGCCTTCTTGAACCTCCCTTTCTTCATGTGTTCAATACTTTTGATTTGTGTCATTCCATTTTATTACACGTAACTTAATTTATGGTCATCCATGGTTTAAACTATTTACATGTGTGAAGTGCATGGGTTGTTAGCGACATCTGGCACCTTCAGAGATCTATTTACTGAGAAGAATTGTGACGTGTTCAATACTTATTTTAGCCACTGTATCTATGGGACTTTTTACATTGTGAAAATCAACTTGTTTTTAATGATCAGCTAACATATACTGATAGTAAGATCATATCAGCACCGGTCCATTGACGCAACATAACGGAATAAATAGGGGGATTTTTAGAGAATATCTAATCACTTTAAAGAGACAATACTTTAAAGCCTTTGTTTTTTTAGCTGCCGTTGCCTTTCTCTTGAAGGTTAATTATCTGGTTTTCCTTCAATTTATGTAGCTTCATCATTCATGATACTTTGGTCTTAGAGCAAAATTATTCCATTTCTTTGGCTATTCCCTGAACTTTGTATCATATAGATATGATTCTTAGTACTCAACACCATCTAGCAGTCAAACATTGTTGATACAGCACTACATGCATCTGTCTACTTTGCATAATATATTTGCAGATTTTCTAAACTTTTTGTCCCATTTCCTCTTTAGGTAATACATTCATGTAACTTTCTCTAAAGAAATACAGATAATTTTGAGCCTCATTACCACATTAAAACATATTTTCCGTATTGGTACATAGTGAATGTCAAAGTGATTTGAGATGGAAACAGTATAGAGTGAGTGTATTTACTGTGTATGAGTGTCATGGCTGCTCCTCGTTTCCAGCACTGGGTGTTCGGTTGCGGATTTGACTCCTCAGCTGTTCGATGAGTTCAGGGTTCTGCTGCTGCATCTGCTGAGCAAACTGCTGACCTCTGCAAGAAACAAACAACACAAACACATCAACCTCCTAAAAAGTCTTCAGCACTGTGTGGCTCTGACAGTGAAACCATCATGCTGCAAGTGTGTGTGATTTTGACTCGATATATGAAACTGATCATGTTGAATTTGAATGATCGGTAAACTTATGTTTCTCTTTATTAGGTCTTAAATGCAACTCAAATGAAATTCCTTTTCAGTAGTCCATGTGTGTCCAGAGAATACATTTGTTTCTTAGAGCTCGTGGTAAGAAATAATAAAACTGTCAGTATGGACCTTCTGCTAAATTACTTACGCCTGGATTAGTCCTGATAAATCTCCCGCACCAGCAGCAGGTCCGGGTGGTGCTGCACTTCCTCCAAGTCCCCCTAGTCCCCCTAGTCCTCCCAGACCTCCCGGCATGCCTCCCGGCATTCCTCCCGGCATGCCTCCCGACATTCCTCCCGGCATGCCTCCCGACATTCCTCCCGGCATGCCTCCCGACATTCCTCCCGGCATGCCTCCCGACATGCCTCCCGGCATGCCTCCCGGCATTCCTCCCGGCATTCCTCCCGGCATGCCTCCCGGCATGCCTCCCGGCATTCCTCCCGGCATGCCTCCCGGCATGCCTCCCGGCATGCCTCCCGACATGCCTCCCGACATGCCTCCCGACATGCCTCCCGACATGCCTCCCGACATTCCTCCTGCTCCTCCTGGCATTCCAGCACCTCCTCCTGGCATCCCACCATACGCTCCTGACATCATCCCTGACATCCTGATGGAGAGAGAACAGATTGGAAGTTACCCTCAACAAAAACCAGAAGGGAAAAAACAGACGGAGAGAAACTGAAAATCCACTTACAGCTGCTGCACCTGAGGATTGTTCATCAGAGAGGACGCCTGCAGGGAGACAGAAGTTTACATATTCATTCTGAGCAGAGTTCCAACAGGTACAGGAAGGATTACCAAAAGAAAACCTTAGAATCAGTAAAAATCAAATGTATTATTATAAGAGTAAAGTCTGACCCACACTGGGACTTACAGATACAGTAGCCTTCGTTTTATTATGGTTTGTGTTTTTAAACAACGATCCTTTATATTTGGTTATTAATGAGTTTTGGTACATTTTGAAAAATAAACGTAACACCATACATCTCAGAATTTACCAAGATTCATTAAATTGAGTTTTCAGCTGTTCGCCTTTGAAACTGCCGTGTTAAAGGCTCTGAATCCTTTCACTTGAAACCAAACAGAGGAGCGACTTCACACCGTCAAATGTAAGGTGAACGCCATAGTTTGCTGGCTGTTTTTTTTATTACTATTATTATTATCTGGATTGAAAAATCTGGGGTGGCTGTGGCTCAGGAGGTGGATGGTCCTCGTCTAACCCGAAGGTCTGTGGTTCAATTTCCAAGCCCTGCTCTATCAACCATCAAAAGTAGTGGGCTATTTAGAAATATTGGGTTCATGCTTGACTTTGGGACCCAGTAGTGAAGAATCTCTCTGACGGATTAGTAATCTGCAGTGTTTAACACCTTTGAGAAGAACCCGCTAAAAGGTTTAGCACTTGTTTCCTAAGTGAAAAGGAAAATAAAAGTGGTGTAATATGTGGAGATTATCTGACTGAAATAAACATATAGGTAACTAGGGCTGCCCTCGACGAAAGATTTTCTAATCGACCAATAGTCCTCAATTCAGGCGAAAAGTCGACTAATCGGTGCACATTTATGATTATTAATATTATTGTTTATTTTGTATTTCTCCCAAAATGGTATCAGTTTCAAAGGCTGATAAAGAACGTTATTATAAGAGCATGGTACATTGTGCTTCACATAAAACAAAGCAGTAATGAACCTTTGAAATATAGATTCAATGTTACACTTAGAAAGCGCATGAGTCACAGCGCAACGCACGGTCGGAGTGTCCGCCCGTCAGCGGTATAAACAGCAGAAGCTCCGGTCAGGATTCTTAATGTGTGTCGGAGCATGCAGCGAGTACACACACTAAGCATTTAGTTCTAGTTTCTATAATTCATATCTGAATATAACAACCCAATAAATACTACACAGGAAACGGAAACACCGAGAGATATGCGCGTCGTCAAATATCCGTCCGCACATTAAACCCTCATCATGAAACGAAAGCTAGCATTTTCTGGGGCTAATAGACTAATGAAAAATTCGTTGACAAATACTTTTTTCGCCAACTAACGCTAAGTCGACTAATTGGGGGCAGCTCTATAAGATGAACATTCGTTAGCCACAGAGTTTATTTTCTGCAATCACCAACATCCAGTGGAGAACTCTCATTGCTTTTTGCCCAGGGAGCACTCGTGATGCAAACTTCTGGGTCGGCCTACTAAAATAGCTTATCACTGCACCCCTCATTTATACATAACAACTATGAGAAAGAACATTCTAATCTATATAAATTACAGACTAATCCACGGGCTGATTTAGGTAACCTTTGTTTATGTAGGACTGGACAGATGAAGGCAGTCCAGAAACAGACAGAGTGAGCTCTCACCATGTTCATGAAGCCGGGGTTACCGAGCAGACCGGCCAGATCCACTCCACCCATCGCTGCTGTCTGAGAGAGAGAGGGGGGGGGGTGAGTACACGCATGTCCCTGCATATCTGCTCTGTATAAAACGTCTTCTCTGTTCTTACTGGACTGGACGTTTCCATCTTCTCCTCTGCGATCTTCAGGTTGGTTTTGTAGGTGTCGTTGTCAGGGTCGAGCTCCAGAGCTTTCTTGTAGTAAGTCCCTGCTTCTGTGTGTTTGTTGAGGCTGGCCAGAGCCAAACTGAAAAACAAAGAACACACCAGGATTTCCATCAGAACCTTAAAAAAAAGAATGAATCAATCATTTTGCTCAAATAGAGTGGTGCAGAGAGGATGCAGTTTAGTGGGCCGACCCGGAAGTTAACATTGCAAAGGCTCCCTGAAACAAAGCATTAATGGGATTTCTCCAGTTTATAGCAGAAAACGTGCTCTGTGGGAAACAAACATTGATGATACATATAGGTTTTGTTCAGTAGGATAATCTCCACATATTAATTAAATTATATATTTCCTGCAAAACAAATAATCTTGATAGCTAATCTTGATAGGTTCAAGGTTCTTTATTGTCAATCTGACATAGTTACAGAGTAATTATGTAGTTGAAAATCTTATGTCACAAGCTTCTATTAACCACAGTCCTTATTTCAGGCATCTAACCAGAAACACATTCAAAAATCAGTCGCAACAAGTGACCCAAAGTGCTTGATTGCTAACTAATTTCCGGGTTTTAGGACTCATCCCTGCACCACCTGCACGCAGTTGAAAGATCTGAAGTTGATATTATCTTTCATCTATTACAGCTGCTACAGCTACAAAACGAGATTCACAGTCAGCAGAGGGAACAAGCCTGACAAATGCTGCTGCATTTCAGTAGAAAGCTGTAATACAGTGAGTTTATTCAGAAGGCAGCAGCTGAGACCGAGCCTGGTCTTACCCCATCCTCCCGTAGGCTTTGCTGTAGTTTGGGTCGATGCTGATGGCCTGCTCACAGTCCTGCACCGCTCCAGCATAGTTCCCTACTTTACTGTATGCTGCAGCCCTGAGCACACAAAAAAACTTCACGTCAACTCTTCAACTTTGAGTTCAGGTCAAGATAATTCCAGGATAAGCCTGGTTGGTAGGGATGGGTATCGTTAGGATTTTATCGATACCGGTATTTTTCGATACTCTTATCGATACTTTTCAATAATTTGGTGCTCAAAATTATAGACATGATTAAAAGATGTGAAGATTAAACAGTCATTTTATTGTAATTTATTTTTTATTTAATGTAACTTTTTCAATGTCATACCAAGCAGGTATGAGTGTGTTTGACAGTGTGTCTCTGGAAGGGGGGCGGTAATTAGGGGCCGTTCATAAATCCATGTAAACTTGACCATTATTCAGTTGAAACGAGACGCTGCGTGCACACCTCCTAAACCGGAAGCTCCGGTCGGCTAACCATTATAATCAGTTTATTGCGTTTATTATTTATAATTGTAATGATGGATTATCAGTAATCATTTTAAAGTTACACAGAGACATTGGATTAACTGTTTTTATGCCCTTGAACAGAACTTTTGATCACAAATCAGCAAAGGTAAGACAATTATCATCATGGCTACGTAAACTGAAGATGTTTTCTTGCTCTTTCTTGGCTGCTAGTTCAGTGAGTTTTGGTCGTACAGTGATGAGACTTACACCAATAGGCGCATTCACACCGCAGTACTTTTCCCACAAAGGTTCATGAGAACTTAGTTCTCATGAACGTCATTTCTTCTTCTTCTGCTTTGGGTTTACTGGCAGGCCGCAAAGTCACCCGACTTCGGGATACTGCCACCCGAAGTCCCCGGCCGGAAGTCCCCGGAGTTGGGGACTGGCTTCAGTAGAAGCTGCTGGGACTCCCAGCAGCTTCTACTGAAGCCTTCAGAGTAAATCGCCAGAACGCCGACACCTCCTCATCTCCCATGTTTTCTTTTGTGTTGCCATAAGTTAGTCTCTCTGCGTTTCTGCGCTGGGCTAATGCTAATGCTAATAATGCTAATGCGAGGATAATAAAATGGCGGCTGCACAATACTTTTTTGGAGTTTTAATGGGCGTGGTTTGCATTCCGTTTTAGGATTTTGATCTAAACATTTAAACACCGTAAATCTAAGCAGTATCTGATATTATTATAACAAACATATTGTAAAATTGATTTTAACATGTATAATTACATTACGTTTCTAAACATGATTATCTAAATTGTATGCTATATTATAATTTTACAACACCACATGTTGGAGGTGATTATTGAACAGCACTACATCTTAGTTACTTTGCACATTCTGATAAATAATACAAAATATAGCCTTGTCAGAAAAAAATATGTAATGTATTATAATGATAATAAGATTCGTATAATAAGAAAATGTATGAGCTACCAGTCAGAATATAAACTTTTAGGGAGACCTGACGGGACACTGACCTGTTGCAGTAATAGACGGCGTTCTGAGGGTTGATGGCGATGGCCTTTGAGTAAAACTCAACAGCAGCTCCGTAGTTCTCCACTTTCATTTGGTCGTTACCTGCAGTTCAAAACACATCACCTGATTGTAAATAAAATATAGAAAATAAATCCCAAATAACGGCAGTGAAGAGGAGATCCTTCCTTATTGTCGTCTCACCATCAGTTTTGAGCACCTCTGCCTCTTCTCTCTGATCCTCGGTGATGGAGTTAGGAGGTTGTTGAGGAGCGGTGTTGTTGTTGACCTGCGACTCAACCGGAAGCTGCAACAAACAAACTGTGAGACTGACATCCCTGCCTCGAAATACTCAACCTGATTTGATCTTTATTAACAGATATTTATATTTCACATGTGAAAAGTCACACAATCTGCTTTACCCCGGCTGTGGCTGAGGCGAAGATCTCCGGTAACGTCATGGGGACAGCGAGGGTATGGTCGTCAGTTGAAACTTCAAACGCTGTCTCCAAACACTGAACAGCAACTGCAGAAGGGCAAACTCACTTTATAAACAATCTGATAAAACAACATAAAACTACTACTAAGTAGTGTTAATTTCGTTGACTAAAACTATGACGAAATATGTTCGTCAACGACCTTTTTTTCCATGACTAAAACGAGACGATGATGAGAATTCACCGACGGCAGTAAACAATAACTGTAACGAAATCAACATGCAATATCGTTGACGAAAAGTGACGAGACGAAAATGTAGTTTACTAAATAAAAACTATGCCAAAATCTCTCTTTACTTTCGTTGACGAAAAATGAGACGACGAAATATTATCAAAGATAACGTTACATCTCTGATAGTCAGTTTTTCTCCCAGCAGTTCCATTTCCGGTGCTGCGGCTGGGTGCAGCTGTGTGTCTGTGCTGCGCGCGGCGGTACATTTGAATTACACCGGGCAGCGGCACACTGTGAACTGTCAGGAAGACTCGGGTCTAACTCATGGTCTAACTAACCTTATTTAACAGAAAATAAAATGGCAACAACAGGGCTTGGGAGCAGTGGTCGCACTCGCGTTAACCGAATACCCCCCCCCCCGTCAGCGTGAGTGAGTGACGAGTTGTGTACAGACTCGACGGGTAATAATGGATTATGACGGAAATGTTAGGATCCTGTCCGTCAAAATGACTGACAACGAAAAAGTCTAACGCCACCACTGCTTGCGAGAAAGAAACGATGTGATATTTGGGCCCATTTTCGCTACAATGAGGCGGAGAAAAAAAGCGAATGCATTGTTTTATCAGAAGGGAAGCAATGTAGCCTTAACACAGCTGGTAACAACACCACAAACCTGACCAGATACTCTCTGCAAAGCTGCATTCTTAATCATTCAACCTGTGTTTTTCATCAAATAAGGACAAGATATAATCTTATTATTAAATAAATTTGACTAAAATGACAAATTATTGGTTTTGGCTAGACTAGTTTGACTGAAATGTTCTATATAATCTGATGACTAAAAAAGACTCAACAGTTTTCATTGACAAAAAGTAGACTAAAATAATTAGTTTTCTTTGACTAAAATAAGACTAAAATGCTCAGACTTTTAGTCGACTAAAACTTGACTAAATAAAAACAGGATGAAGGTGACTAAATATGACTAAAACTAAAAAGGAAATTTAACACAGGACTATGACTAAAACTAAATAAAAAAATAGCTGACGAAATTAACACTACTACTAAGTGGTGTTGATCATCACTATTTTACATCTCATATCTGGGTTTTTGGGGAAAGCAACATCATTTGTATTACAACAATTATAACAGTAAGATATGTCAAGTTATTTAGTCTCTTATCCTTAAATATTAGGGATGTTAAGATTCACCGATTCGCATCGGTGCACCGGCATAAACGTTCAAGATGCGAGTGCACCGGTTGAAAGAGTGCACATCGGCTACAGTTTGGGTTGAACTCGCGATGCATCGATTGTAGCGTCTTTGCATCGGTAAAAAAACGATTCATTCATATTATATCCTCTCATCTTGTCAGCACTCAGCAGAGACGATCTTTGATCTTTACTTCGCCACTACGGAGGCCGAGAGTCTCAGTTATCAACACACATGGAAGTCGAGGAGAAAGAGAAAGACAGCGCACCGAAAAATACCTACAAATCAAACGTTTGGCAACACTTCGGATTTTTCAAGAAAGACGGACAACTTGAAAAATCGCTCGCAATTTGTAAACGATGCCGTGCGGCTTTAAAGTACACAAGTAGTACGCGGAACTTAGCGACGCACATAGAGGCAGCATGGGGTCTGCGGCTGAAAAGAGAAACCTGAAAGTAAGACATATGAGTTAAATCACTCGGTGAGGTGTTCCGTCAGTGAGAGTGGTGTTTAGTTTACAGCAGCCTGTGACTGCCAATAATAGTTTACATGTCTTCCTTACAATTGTAAGCAGTTATGAAATACCTGTTTGTGAAAGGTTATTTTCTTTATTGTTCCTATAGAAACCACTGCTTTCTGCTCACTGGTGAGTTAGCCTATGAATGAGTGTTAAGCACATCAGGCTGGCAGTTGTATGTGCATTGCACTATGGTAGTTGTTATTTGCACATTGTTAATCATGGGCAATGCATCCTTAAATTGTTTAACTGTGAGGTGTTATAACATTGAACTGTACTCTGGAGACAGAGAACACTACTACACTTGTGAAAAGGCCAGTTTGTGAAAGGTCCAAGTGTTTTGTTTTTTTAAGGTAAAAAATAAACAGCATGATGGGATATGCAGTACTAGTAGAGAGAAGCAAATATGTGAAGCACTTTTTTGTTAATGTATGATTTGCTGCAAACTAGGAATAAAACAAAATCCTCTGTCGTACCATATTGAATTGTATCATTATTTTGCATCGTGTTGAATCACATCGTATCGCCCCGTATCGCATAATGTTGAATCAAATCGTATCGAACTGTATCGCAACAGGGGTGAATCGTATCGTATCGCATCGCCTGGTGTTTCAAAGGTATCGTTAATGTATCGTATCGTTGGTAGCGTATCGAGATGCGCATCGTATCGGCCTCAGTGATGGAGATGCACATCCCTATTAAATATACATTATCTGCCGATAAATAGTCAGATCATATACTTATATTTACCTGAAAGTTGTTGGATATGCTTCTGACATTAAATGAACAACTAAGATACAACATAATATGTAATGTATATCATTTAATAATATATCGTATTTTATTTAGCTACTTAAACCAAATACTGACAGTCCTGATTGAAAACTAGAGGGTTTAAAATCTTAAATGATTGATGATATGAATGAAAGTACAATGTGACTCCTGGAATTGACAGGACATCCTACAGAGAAGATGTCTCACTCTCCTGCAAGTTTTTGAACTAGAGAAACACTCAATCCACTCTGATTATAGCGTCACAGAGTGGAAATTCTTCACGATAAGTTATTTTTAAACATCTCTGCGGCTCGTACATCCAACATACTTGGAGTACACACATAATTTGAGAGGAAACATATCTAATTGTGATAGTATATCAAATAATATCATATATAATAATAATATAAAATGTTTTAGTCATGTATTCTACCCCTGGTTCTTGTTGTCTAAGGAGGACTCACCTTCCAGACTCTCCTGGGCCCCTGAGGACAGGTTCCCTGACTTGAGCTGATCATGGAGGAACTGGAGGATGGAGAAGGCGAGACGCTTGTTGTCTGTCATGGTGACGGAGGCTCAGACCTCTCTGTGGTCACTGAGGGAGAGAGACCCTGGGAATAAGGACAAGGACAATATTCACCAGTTAGTCAAGTTGTGATTATATTAATAATGGCGCGTTTCCACTACAGCGCGGAGCACGGTTTAAGAGGGCTGTGACGTCAGCGGCCCGTCTTTGGTTGCGTTTCCACTTGGCCTAGTACCGGCCGGCGGGTCCTAATTCACAGTTTTTCTGGCCTCATAAAATCGCGGGTCTAGGGCCAGAGACAACGAGGCTGAGTCGGGCTGAGTATGCTAAACTAGAGAGAGAATCGCTGGCAAGGGGGCTACAACTACAACAAGATGGACATATTTGACCGTGATTTAATTGTAATACACGTTTCAAAATGATGCCGAAGTAACAACATACTGATACCGGTTAGTAAAAACCATGAATTAATGCTTTGACAAGTCTGCAGACAGACGGCAGGCGAAAAACCTTTTAAAATGTTTGTTTTCTAAATGGAGATTGGCTAAGCTAACGCAGTATATGCTCCGACCGTCCACACTCACAACAACGGCCTATACAGACATAAATAAAGCAGCGACTGTACTCGCCATGACACAGGCAGTCTGTGGTGTGTACTTGTTTAACTTTTGTCTAGTTTCTGAACATATATGAGGAGCTGTGAGCTCTGAGTGCTAACAGCTAACGGCTGTGTTGTTTTTCTGAGGTTCTCATTGAAGATGCCGTCACGGCTCCGCCTACACTGCGTTACTATAGATACTGCCCCAGTTCCTAAACTGTAATGGAAATGCGCCATAAAGTGAGCCAGTCCTAACGAGGCCCAGCCATACCGAGCGGGGCCGAGCGAGGCCATGTAGTGGAAACGCGCCATAAATGTCATGAAGAGGGGAAAAAACACAGTATTATATGTATGATTTATAAACTTAGTTTTCAATTAGATGTAACTGCTTCCTGTTACAGAGTACATTAACTAGTATACATGTTTCCCACAGATCTGAAATATACTTGGGGGGGGGGGGGGGGGGGGGGGGCGGTAAGGGGAGGTGACGTGCAACAACAACATTAACCTTTCTGTTGGTCGCTTGTGAGCAGACCCTTCACGCGATGGCAGAGCGAACAGGTACAGCCAGGGCCGGACCGAGACACTAAGTCAGGCCGGAAATTATACACCCAGCCAGGCCACTACCAGTTTTTGTGCCATTTTGTTGGATTTATTTGTCAATATTCACAGCATTGCTGCGAACGCAGTAGTTTAAATCTACTACCCACAAATAAATATATGGACATGGACATGGGTTACTATTTAAATAAAATGGTAAATGTATTTAGGAACCTGTCCATGTGATTTTAAGTGGGGGTGGACCTCAAATTCTCTAGGGGGGTCCGGGGGCATGCTCCCCCGGTAAGATTTTTTAAAATGTTGGAGTTATATGCATCAATCTGGTGCACTTTGAGGGGAAAATAAAGAGACTAGATCTATGAAAACACCTATATGAAACAGAACTGTATACATTTCAATAATCATAAAATCATGGCCATAACCAATAACATACCATATCCAATATGAAAAAACACTGAAACTTGTTTATTTATTTTTGGTTCATTTATAGTTGTGAGTGTGTCTGTGCTCCTGAATCAGCCTCACCTGTCTCCCTCCTCTCCCCCCTGCTCCTCTTTGAGGCAGCAGCAAAGACTAGTTTTAGCTCTCAACAAGTTTTAAAAGTGTATCTTACCTTTTTTCACCTAGTTAACTTTTTATTCATGCATATTTGACTAATCACTCGCCCCTCAAATGGAAATATGTGTTTACATAAATGGTGACAAAACCGTTTGAGAACCACTGAGAACTTAGACTAAGTTAACTATCTAAACACTCAGAGAGTCCTTTACCTCACCTGAGCTGTAGTTATCCCGAGCTTGAATGACATACAGAGACCAATCGAGGGCTTTGATGTATGATCTGTATGACAGTGGCCATGTCGGCAGGCCACATCATGTAGACAGCCAGTCACCCTGTGTGAGGCAGACCCACATTTGCGCAGCGTTGCGTTCACAATACATTAAAACAAAAAGGGTCGCGAAATATACCTGGGCGGCCGTTAATATACCTGGGCGGCCCGCCCAAGTAAAGTCTATGTGTGGGAAACCCCGAGTACTTGGGAAATATAAAATAAGTATATAAATAATAGAAACTAATGACATTTTGGCCATCAATAATACCTGGTTCTCACAGGACAGCAACGCTACTAACCTTCTATAATATGTTGTAGGTTAAATTCTAAAAACGTATATAAAGAAGTTAAAGTTACCACAGCATCATACATCTGCAGAAGTAAAATACAAAAAACGAATGAATGCAGCAGTTATATCAACCGAAAAACGTAGGACTTATGGTATAAGTGGAGTACTTTCCCTGTTACAGGTACTTGAACTGCAGTAAAAGATCCCCACCGACTCCACACACACACACACACACACACACACACACACACACACACACACACACACACACACACACACACACACACACACACACACACACACACACACACACACACACACACACACACACACACACACACACACACACACACACACACACACACACACACACACACACACACACACACACACACACACACACTAGATTAAGCTCCCCCTTTAGCATTAGCTTTTAGAATTGTCTAGAAACTCGGTCTAAGTATAATCGGTTCGACTGTTTAAGTAATGCTAACACTAGCCATCTTGGTAACGTTAAATGAATCATGTGAACAACTAAAAGCCACCTAGCAAACAGCTGAGTGTAGGTCAGATATAAGAAGCCAATATTGAAAAGGAATTTTGAACTTGGATTTTCCATAAACAAAAGTAAGAAGGTTAGCTGCAGTTAGTCTGCTAGGATTTGGTTAACTAGATCACAATTGCTTGTAAAATAAAGTTTTACCAATACAGGATATCATTCAAGCAGTTTAACTCTAGGAGAGGAGGTGTAGAAATGAGCACAGTTATTATGGGTGGAAGCCTCCAGCTTCAAGGTATACTCGACATGTTGACAGGTAGTCACCGGGAAGATGAGCAAACTCATTACTGTTTCATTTACAGCAGTCGCTTTATAACTCCTACTAAGTCGCTATTTTAAGTTGTACTTATTTGGTGTTAGTAACATATGCCAAATTACACAGTGTTTTGACAGCTCATTGTATGTTTCAACGTCTGTTCTAATAGGTGTATGGTTTTACGAAGAAGCAAGACCCTGTTATTTTTCCAGAGTATTCTAAGGGTTTGGCGTGACATGGTCTCCTTCCTATAACGACACGATGCTAAGTAGCTAGCGACCTAGCTTATTAGATTCCGTTGACTCCAGCGGTGCTGTCCTATTTGTTTGAAGCCCGGCATGCTGCCTGGTATAACATGAGGACACAGTAGTGGGTTTTTCCTACCAGTTGTCTCTATGGTTCAGTTGTAGATTAGCCCGAATAAGGATGAATTCACGTTAGCTCCGATCCTTCGAGTATTCGTAGCCGTCATTCAGCTAGCTAATTAGCTTGGCTTGGAGTTATGTCGTCATGCGTAGGCGCCGGTGTGGTGTCATTCGTTTCCGGCGTCAGATCCATGCCAAGCCGGTTTCTACATTTTTAAATTCAAGATTTAAATTTGAAGTGGAACTATGTTCTTTTTGTAATTTATCTGATGAATCGACCAAGGTACGTTTTAACCGTTTGTTTTTTAGTTCTAATTGAAACTAATAATAAAACAGAAACGGGTCGTTTTTTTGTTTTTCAATTTTGCCCCAAAACCAAAAAACGGAAATTCAGCTGTTTTTTTCGTTTTTCTGTTCTTACTGTTAAAACAAGTATGTCAATGCTTCGTTTCCATAGGTGGGTGGGTCTCCAGTGCCTCCTTGCTTCTGATTGGCTAGTTTGCCCTATGCTTGCGCTGTACTCTTCAAAATAAAGGTTCATACTCTTTACCTAGACAGTGCAGTGCGTGTTTGCACGAATATACATTGAATATATGGTAACATGCAAAACATACAGAAGACAGTCTGCCCGTTTGTGGGTGCGTATGTGTTTGCGCGTCTGTCGGTCTGTTGGTCTGTCTGTCTGTCTGTCTCGCGATCTGTCTATCTGGCTGTCTGTCTTGCACTGTCAGCCATGAATCCCTATCTTATAAATAAAGTATGAGTACCTCTCTGTTTGATGTTACTGACACTGCTGAATTGATGCGGCCGTATTTCCCGTTTGCGTGGTCAAGTCAGCATCGAGGTTTTTTTCTTCAAATCTATATTAAAATAGCTTGGAGGTTGAGGATTGATAAATACTATTTAGAGTACTTTTACTGTGTACTCTGTCAAACTCCCCTCTTGAGTACAATAATGCATGTTTTCTGCTATCTTTGATGAGAGATAAAATGATGTTCTGCCATCAATTCTTAATGAGAGTGATAGCCTACTGTTTGACTCAGTATACTAATTTAACTACACCAACAAGTACTTTTTCAGGTATTCCCCCCCTTAGTACAAGAATGCATCTTAAATAAAAATGTGTCATTAGACTTATATTGTTGGACAGAGTATTTTAAGAGGATATGGTAGACATGATATCAGCACTACTTCCAGTCAGTACTCCAGCAGCAGCTTTTACCCCTTGGGAAATCTTCAGAGAATATCCTGCATAGCTGGTCTATCCTTCAGCAAAGTGACACACCCTGTCACTCTTGTTGGCCTCTTATGATGATGCTGTCTTAACCTTTAACAGCCAGCGCCACCATTTGGTAGAGCACATTTTGTGTTTTGATATCTTGTTGAAAAATAAATAAAAAGTGTAACTCCATCTGATTCAGCCAGCTCTATCGTTTTGGTTGACATGTTATGCACAAAACAACCTCTAGATGTCACTGTGGTTCGAACAGAAAGGCCTTCAGCTAGCTTCCACTGAGAAAGTTGGCATGCTAAAAATCACTCCTGAAGAAATCACTCTTTTTGGTCAACTTTTGTAAGGTAACCATATCATTTTTGACATATTTTAGTGTCAGAGCACTTACTGAACAGAATTATATAACTTGATGCACAAAACATTTTTGTAACAAGGGTGTAATTACTTTTTTGAAAATATGCTCAACCAACTGGTCGAATTGGCCTTTTATGGTAAACTAGCAATATGACTTTTTCAGAGTTTCAGAGATGTTTTCCAATAAAATATGGTAAATAAATGGCTAGATTCATGGTAATATTACTAAATCTAGTACTGCCTTATGAGTCTCAGAGTGAAAGAGCGATAATAATTTATATAGCACCTTTCATGCATGAAATGCAGCCCAAAGTTGCACACAGATGAGCAAGTTAGGCCAACACAGGATATAGACATTTGCTGTTTGGCCAGTTGTTTGTTGTTAGGCCAAACTTTTTATAATGAAAAACACTTTCCATTACTTTTTTCCATTTCTTTTTTGTTTTACAATAATAATTTATAATTTTTGATGAATATGTCTGGTTGTATATATTGCTCATCTTCCATAAAAGAAAAAAATGTATTTGAGTTTGTGTTTTATTTGAGTTTGATGCATACAAATACTGTACTATATGATGATTGTTGACCAGCTCAACAATTAAAGGGTTAAAATATGATTATTTCTCTGCCCCTAGTTCGTTCCTCGCAGATTCTTCAGTCTCATCAGCCTCATCTTTCCATCTGTCCCAGTCAACGCATCAGCCTCCAGCACACTTTCAGTGTCTGACTCCATAGAGATATTGTCCTGATGCTGTACAAGGGTGATGCCCCATGATCAAAAAATGACCCCTGTAGAGTCTGAGTGCCACTGACCTCTACATGTCACTTGTTAGTTGCTTTTACCTTAAAGCGACTACACTCAATACTGTGGACAATCCTCACAGGAGCTATTTGGGGTGAAGCCCAGGGACACAACGACATGCTGACTGCAGTGGGGATTGAACCAGTGCCCCCCTGATCCGAAGATCAACGCACGATCAGCCACAGCCTCCCTAGCCATATTATGTTTGTCATTAATAACCCCTTATAACAATTTTCTTTCCTTTCTTCTCTTTTCTCTTCTCTTGACTGAATTAAAAAGTCCAGTCTTTAAGTAATATTTCAAGTCCTTTTCCTGCACCTTTTTAAGGCTATATGTTTGCAATATGTATTCAAAGGTCACTTATTTAAATAAATCAATATCTGAGGTTAGCAAACAGATACTGCCTTTATCTAGAGAGCCAATGACACCCATGAAGAATTGCAAATCTTTTCATCTGCTGTATTAATAAAATTGCCATGTGTTTTCAAATTGAAAATAAGGCACTGTCAGCCCAGAACATTATACAAAATATATATATATTTTAAAAAGGGACCTGTAAGGCTTAATCAATGTTATATATATAGATCTTTATATAATATCAATATTATAATAAACTTCAACCAAAGTCAATTTCAGGAGTGGTGTTTGACACAGTTTACGTTCAATTTCAACTATTCAACCTTTTTAAATAATTTACTTTAATTTAGAAAAGGTTTTTCTGAGAAAAATGTACTAACAAATTGAAAAATACAAGTTTAATAGGACAATGTGGATTTATTTTCTCTCACCTTGTAATTACACAATCAAATAATCTATAATACGGCTTTGGACTTCACTCACCAAAAAACATTTGTTTTTATGTTTTGCATTTGTACTATTTTGTAGTCAATTTGGACAAATATCTTTCGAACTCAAAATATCCTATGATTGCATATGGTGTGAATATGTATACCCTGCTCACTCCGTATTATTTTAGGTACAATTTATATTTTAAATGTAATGAAAAAGCCAACTCAATAGTGTGTTAAAAATAGACTTTAGGATATTGTAAAACAAAAAACTGCTATATAATGTATTCTTAACCCTCCTTTATCTTCACATTTGCTTTACACCCTCTATCCTTGGTGGTCATTTTGACCCCAGGAGTTTAAAGCTCAAGAAAATGATCATATTCAAAATTGTTACCAAAATGTACATTTCAAGTACTTTATGTTTCTTAGTTGACTATCTAAATATCCATTTAAATAAAACACTACTAGCCATTTTCATTACATTAGCAGCACTAAACTTACCCTGTTTTTCACGTGGGGAGCGGGACCAAGATAACTTTCCATTTTTGGAAAGTAATGTTTCTGCTTGTGTTTGACAGGAGCATCTGCATGGGGTATTCAGGGTGGACCATTTGACAGAGGATTTCTCTGAAAGTACAACATAAAAGTATTTTATAGTCTTTGCGCTAGTAGTCTAACTACTGAGTCCAAAATGATCAGTCTTCGAACTTAAAAGTATTTGTATTGCTCGTCACATATAGCAGCAAGACAGGATAGCCGCGTTCACACCAAGTACTTTCCTGTTTTGTTTTGTTTTGTTGTACCATGGAGGGGACTTTGACAGGAGAGTATCAAGAACTACAGTACAAGTATTTCATAGTATTTGGGATAGTTGTAACTACAACTGATTCCAACTTCATCAGTCTTATGAAAAACGTATGGCCAAAAATAATGTTATCGCTCATCAAAGATAGCAGAAGCTTGTCATTTTTGCACTGTGTAAAGGCAAAGAGTTAGAACCTTTATTTTGAAGAGTACAGCGCAAGCATAGGGCAAACTAGCCAATCAGAAGCAAGGAGGCACTGGAGACCCACCCACCTATGGAAACGAAACATTGTGGTATACTTATTTTAACAGTAACGGACCGTCCACACAGCAGCGTTAAAAAATCTTGAAACGCTTCTGCCCATTCACTTTGAATGGGGTGACGTCACTTTGCCTCACTTTTCGCCGAACTGCATTGTGGGCAGGCGAGCGGAGATTTTCAGGATTTTCAGGATTCAAAGTTGAGCAATGTTCAACTTTTGAAGCTGAGGTGGAAGCGTCAGCCAATCAAATCCCGTGTATGCAAATCTGACAGTTCCAGCGCTAGCCAATCAAACGGCGTGTATGCTGGGAGAGACATACCGCCGGTCATTTCCTCATATTCCAAAAAATGGAGGAGAAATTAGCGGTAGGGAATCACCCGGTGCTTTATGACCAGTCCCTATTTACCTACCGGGATACAAACCGGAGGAGCCAGGCATGGAGGGAGGTGGCAGAGACAGTGGTAGGTTTTCGCCTGTTTGGGGAGTTTATATCCAGTTTACTTTTGCTTTGTATGTCGGGGGCGGCAGATTCATGTGATTGGTTGTTGGTGCCTTGCTCGCAAAAAATCCCCAAGCTTCAGATACGCCCACCTCCAAGATTTTTTTAACGCTGCTGTGTGGACGCTCCGTAAGAACAGAAAAACGAAAAAACGAGCTGAATTTCCGTTTTTTGGTTTTGGGGCAAAATTGAAAAACAAAAAAACTACCCGTTTCTGTTTTTTGTTGTTGTTTCAATTAGAACTAAAAAACAAACGGTTAAAACGTACCTTCGTCTGAATCGTTGGAACATTTATTTTTCTCATGCCCTTCTTCGAAATTGTTTTTGGTCGAATGTGAGAGATTGGTTGTTACTTAAATTAACTAATATTCCGAATCCGTGTATCTACCGTCCAATTGTTTTTCTTT